AGCCTACTGCTGTACCTTTTGACTCGGCCCATGACACCAACCCGTGTGGCTGTGGTGTCCACTGCGCTGCGGTGCATTGGATTGCCTCCCCAGTGGGCCTCCAGCCAGTTGAGTAATGTGGGCCTGTTTCCAGTGAAGCCCAGAAAGGCTTGCTGCCTTCTGCCATGCTCGGCCCAACTTGATCCCATCCCAAATTTTTTAGGCCTGGGCTCCACGATTTTCCCGGTTTTAGCCCGTTTTGGCTTTGGTTCAATTTAGGACCACAGATTTTCATCGCCTGAGTCAAAGGCAATCTTGGGTTATATTTTCGCCCATCACTCCTCATTGGCTCGAAGCTCAATAATGGAAAATGGTCAATTCGTTAAATTATTATCATAGGCCCTGAAGACCTACATGCATTTATATGTTGTATATATTTTTGTATATATTGTGTTTGCTTGCAAGAACTCATGAACCTATAATCTACAACATGCCATCTAGCCCAAATGATCAATTCAAATATTTCTATGGCAATTGGAAAGATTCAGGCTTAGTTGCCTCTCATCTATGCACGTATCTTCTTTCTTTCTACAATAGAGGACTAGGATTATGTCAAATTGCAACATCTTTTTGCTGCCATTCTAAAGCCCTAGGCTTTATGGGAATTGCTCATATTTTCTAATTATTGCATAAATAAATAAATTTTGTCTTTACATTGTTGGAGCAATAATAGAAATATATGAAAATGATACAGAATTTCTATGATAATAATCATAAAGAAAATAGCAACAATAATTGTAAACAAGATTAATATAAACAACTAAAGAGAAAGTAAAAAATACTGACAAGCGTGGAAATTGGGGCTTGCATAAATGCAATGTCAAAAAGACAAAATTTCGCCCCTACTCTTATACTTGTAGTTTGGTAGACTTTCGCCTCCCATGATTCAACAATATATAATCCAAAGTTGAAGCATTTCAATCTTAGGACTTTGACACAACTCCGAATTTGACAATAATGAATAAAAAGTATTTGAGAAAACTCTACTCTTTTAATTCTTGTTATATTCCCACGCCTATACTAACTTGAGCTTATATTAAACCTGAGATAGTGGTTGATTAAGAGATGCAAACATTCATCTATTAGATGCCACCGTTTACCAAGGAATGCATCGATTCCTTTAGAGCACTTCCACTGGAAGCAAAAGAGGCCAGCACCCAGTGGAAAAAACAGACTGGGACTCAGCCAATCCACTCTAGCCCGTGGAATAGACTGGCACCCAGCCTAAGCCACTCTCCAGGCCAGCCTAAAATGGACTGACCAAGGGACCGGGCCGTTTGTTTTTTTGAGCCTGGCGCGTGGCCTTCACTCACAAGTGGGCGCAATTAGCAGACAATAAAATCAAAGGCGGGCCTCGCTAGCAGGAGCACTCAAATTTCATCCGGGTTGGGCGACGTGGCCCACTCTATGCCGTTGGATTTCCAACGGCTAGTTTTTCTACAACGTTGGATTTCCAACGATAAAAAAAAATTGAAATTTCACTTTTAAATTGGACCGTCCGATCACAGATCAACGATCCACATTTTTTTTTTCCCCAAAAATAAAATAAAAAAGGCCCAACGGTCATAATTATGACCGTTGGCCACGTGGCAGCTCGTTGGCTGTTGGATTTGAATATTTTTCAAATCCAACGGTCTAGATTAATTAACAACATTAAAATTTATTAAAAATTATGAATTTTTTTTTAAAATACAGAAAAATTTTAAAAAATTAATTAATTTTTTTCTATAAATATCTAACCCTCATCTTCCACCTTACACCACATTTCAATATTCTAAATGGGCTGGATGCCAGCGCATTTTATAAGAGTGGAAATCGTTTGTGCCATCGCATTTTTAGACTGGATGCCAGCTCATTTTTTTAGGGGTGGAGATGCTTTAGCCTATTACTGTTCATTGAGGTCTATTACTGTTTACTGAGTGGATAAATGGGTTGGGTGCTGGCGCAAAGTTTTTAGACGTGGAATTGCTCTTAGAGTAATTTTATTCCATTTGAAAAGTTTCACTAGCATTTTTTTCATTCAAAAAATTGAATTAAATAAATATATAAACTCCAACACGCATGGCGGCGATTGATGTGAATGGTTGCTAGTTGATAGGAGCGCATTTATGCTACTTAGTTATGATGTTTCCTTACATTTAGTGAGTTAATTACTATGTATTTCAGTCTTTTAAGTTATTTTCGTTTGTTTTTAGGTCCTAATGGAAAAATGAGCAAGAAGGCTATTTGGAGCATTTTTGGGCATGGATTGGATAGCTTAACCATGGAGCAAAGAGGATGGACGAAATTGAAGAGAAATAGAGCTAGGAAAGGCTACAAATCTGGTGGAAGAAGTCCTAGTGCAATGAAGATAAGGAAGAAGCAAGAAACAAGGAACCTTATCCAACCTTATCTTATCCTATCCTAGAAACCTTATCCTATCCTAACTCTACATTATCCTATTCTATCCTATCCAAATCAGGTTGGGACTTAAACCTAGCTAATTAGAGGGAATTAATTACACATCTAAACACCTATTTCAGTTTCTAGAAGACTTATCCATCTAAATGCCGCAAGACACCATTCCTTGTAGGTTTAGGAATTACAATCCTTCTCCTACTCTTATATCACATGTCCTAGGCCGTTTTGGATTAGGAATCTACCTTAAACACTTCTTCTAGAACACCTTATCCTATCCCTACATGTGTGCCGCACCTAACCTTCTAGAAATCCCTAAATCCTAGCCACACTACCTATTCCAATTCCCACTTGATTTCTGCCTTGAATTAACCCTTTTTCAATGGGATTGTATAATCATTTTCCTTCACTAAGTGTGCCAAACTAGCCTATATAAACAGCCTTGCCGTGCCATTTAATCACCACCACCCTTCACACAACATTCATTCATTCATTCATTCAGAAAAACCATACCTTGCCGCAACCTTACAACCAACTTTCCACCATTCCCCTACTTCCAAACCTCCATCCCAACCTCCATACACCACCATCAACCCTTGCCGCACCACCACACCTTCCTAAATCCATCCAAAACCCAGAAAATCATCCACAAAACCACCCTAGACCTTGTGCCGTGACTTAGCAAGGAAGAGGAGAAGGAAGACCAAGCCTTGGGCGTTTGTGCATTCGAGTTGGAGTGTTGGAACGTTTTAGGTGTAATCTATCTTTTATTTTCAATGTTTAATTCTATGTTGCTTTGTTTTGTCATGAACATGAGAGGCTAAACCCGTTTTAGCCTAGGGATGCTTTGAAACCATGATTGCGTTTATAATATGAGTTGATGAATTCCAGTTGTGATTTCATAAATTGTGAATGCAATTTACTTAACCGTTTGATGGATAACTTATTCTTGTATGTTGATTAGGGAGGCCTACTTAGTTTGCATGCTTGAATTTGGGGCTAGAATATAAGGGTGTTTCACATAATCGTCACAAACTTATATTCACAAGTAGTTAAGGTTGTTTTCACAATCATGTTAAGTAAATTCCTAGCATGAGTATCATGATGTCATAGTTACAAGTGCTTTGTCAATACTTATGATTTCCATTGAACATAATGATCTTTGATTTTATCTCTATTATGATGTCATGTAGGGGACTTTTGAAGAATGCTTTGGGTTGTCGTATGATGTCATCCAATCCACTAACTTAAGGGAAATCTGAGGGTTAATTAGTGATGTTACGGTTAATCTGGGGTGTTGAGGTTCATGGTTTATCGAAAAAGCAACTGGAAATCAATTTATGTTTGAATGTATCATGTGTGGAGAAGTATCCCTTGGCTATCCCCTCATCCATTGATCTTTCTTAAATTCGTCCAAAATCTGTTTTAAAGTTTTAAGTTACTTGTTTTCTTTTAAATTCGTCCAAAATCAAAACCCCTTTTCTTACTTGTTCTAAATCTGTCCAAAAGAGTCTTTTTGAGTCTTTAGAGTCAAAACTAAGTGTATTTTCGTCCAAATTAAGTCCTAGAGTCTAAATTGAGTCTTTTTGGTTGTTTTGAGTCTTTAAAGTTTGTTTTGAGTCATACAAGTTAGTAAGAGTCTTGAGAGTTTATTTAAAGTGTTTTAAAGCATATTTTCACATCTTTGAGTCAATTTTCATTAGATTAGCAATCCCTCCTAATCCCCGGCCTAGAACGATCCCTACTTATATCTATACTACAATTGTCAAAAAGAGGGTTTAATTTTGAGTGCTATCTTTTATCACATCACTAGTGTGGTTGGTGAATGGCGTGGAAGGGTAGTGGTGAACATTATTGTAGCGGTAAAATTTGGAATTCAGTCGACAAAAAGAGAACTGTTATTAGCACTCTAAAAATCTTATTCTATACTTCTCACAAATGTATTTTTCTCTCTAATTATAGAAAGTTTGGAATGCCTAATAAGATTTTTTGAATGCTAATAACAATTCCCGACAAAAATTCAACGTATTCAACGAAATCTAACATAAACGACAACATGGAAATCTTTTGTAGTTTTAGAAGTGAAATAGGCAGGTGTCAAGGTCTTGTTGGTTTGGAACTCCAGCCGCGAGCGAAGCAACCCAATCAATAAATGATAGGGAAGCTGTGGACTAGTTGGTCTAACTTAATTTGTGTGGCCATCCAATCAAGTGTTGTTTCTTACATGTGAGAAGATTTCTTCTCTTGTATGCTATTGTGCAAATTAAAATTGGGTTTTCTCATTTGCTGTGTGTCTTAGAACAATGATGGAGCATTCACGTACGTAAGTTGGTTTTGTTCAAATTCCTGCCCGGGTTCATTCTTTTATGCATGAGCACATGCCTCGAATCTGCAGCTCTTCACAGCCTTACTCTGCTTGGAAATGAATTTGATCGCTTGTCTTTGCTAGACTTCAAGAAAAGAATAATCGGAGATCCTTTCGATGTCATGAGCTTGTGGAGTCATTCCATCCATTTCTGCAATAGGGTGGGGTTTCTTGCCACCGTTCCACCAAAAGAGTCTTGATGTTGAACCTGAAAGCTCAAAAGTTGGTAGGCTCCATTCCGGCTTCCGCTGGAAATCTTACTTATATTACTGGAATCAATTTGATGGACAACAACTTTCATGGAGAAATTCCACCAGAAATGGATCGTCGACAAAGCCTACAATATCTCAACTTTTCCCATAATTCCTTCCGTGGGAAAATTCCAAATAATTTGTCGCAATGCAATCGGATTAAGGGGTCCATTCCGAACCAACTCAGTTCATTGTTGGATTTAAAACATCTATGGCTTTATGGTAACAATCTCACTGGAACCATCCCACCTTGGATAGGAAACTTTTCTTTGTTGAGCAGTCCTTTTCTTGGTGAGAACAATTTTCAAGGAAGCATACCCAATGAGTTGGGCCATATAACAGCCTTGGAGGAGTTCGTAGTTGAGGAGAATAATCTATCTGGTATGATCCCTGTTAGGAGTGTCAGTACTACAAGATAGAGAATCACAAAGTAAAGTAGAAAATGGATACCAAGAATTTACGTGATTTGTCAATTTATGCCTACATCCATAGGACAACGATCAATCATCACTATATGAAAATGATGAGTACAATAAGAGTAGTCTTATCAAGCCAAAGACAAAATTTGATGGATACAGGAAAGTATAACACACACTTTCTATCACTCTAACTTCACTCACACAATGTGTAGTAGAACACTCTCACTCTCACTCTTGGAATGGAATTCTAGCTTTGGACTTGAACCTTTTCTACTCTCTTATTTGCTACCAACACCAACACATCTATTTATAGGTGGGTTTTTGCCGTCATACCCATTGCACACCGACTTTGGCTAGAAATGATAGCCACACGATTATACAAACTGCTAGAACTTTCTAGAATATGCATGCACTCCACCGACATGCATATTTGGACCAGATTTTTCTAGTTCCTTGGCACTTGGTTTGCTTATATAAGATGCTAGAATTTTCTAGCATCCATCCCTTATAATGGGCTGAACCTTTAATGTCCTTCATCATGGGCTGGACCCATGGTATACCAACAATCCCTTCCACAATCTATAATATTTCTTCCATATCCACTTTTAGTGTTGCTTAAAACCAGTTGCATGGAGAGCTACCACCAAATCTCGGCACTATGCTTCCTAATCTCGTACAACTTTATTACGGTGGGAACAAATTCAGAGGAAATATTCCTATATCATTGCCAAAGGCTTCTAGACTTCAGACGCTTGAACTTTCTCAAAATGGCTTCTCTGGGACAATCTCTGGTGAAAGTCTAGGAAGCTTGCGAAGCTTAGTTTGGCTAAAAATTTATGGCAATCAATTACGAAATAGAAAAGTTGGTGACTTGAATTTTCTCAGTTTCTTGGCTAATTGCACAATTTTGGAGGTTTTTTTAGTCTTGACTCTAATAATTTTGGAGGAGAAATCTCGGGATCCATAGCCAACTTTTCAACCCAACTTAATTATCTTAGACTAGGGGGAAATTTTATACATGGAAACCCTCCCTAAACTTGACCACTCTAGCATTAGATCATAACCATTTGGGCGGTAGTGTCCCTCATGAAATTGGGAAGTTAGAGAAGTTAGAGCAACTGTATTCGGATGTTAACCAATTTTCTGGGTCAATTCCGTCTTCCCTTGGTAATATGACTTTAGTGTTAAACCTCCACATGGGGTTAAACAGGTTTGAGGGCAGTATACCTCCAAGTCTTTCAAACTACCGAAACATTTTAGATATTAACCTTTCAAGTAACAACCTTACGGGCACCATGCCTAAAATGCTTATGGAGCTTTCAACCCTTTCAAATTCTTTAGACCTGTCTGACAATTATTTGACTGGTTTGATGCCCCTTGAGGTGGGTGATTTAGTGCATCTCACGGAGCTAAATGTATTAAGAAACAATTTATCAGGTGAAATCCTGAGCAACCTCGGTAGGTGTACTAGTTTGGAGCGCTTGTATTTGCAAGGTAATAAGTTTGAAGGAACAATTCCTCAATCTCTTAAAGATTTAAAAGGCTTGGAAATACTTGATATTTCAAGCAACAACTTGTATAGGCAGATTCTTGAATTCATAGGCAAGCTTGGTGCTCTCAAATATCTCAATTTTTCGTATAATGATTTTGAGGGCGAGTTGCCTAAAGACGGTATTTTTTTGCAAATGCTGGTGGTTTGTTTGTTCTTGGAAATCATGGGCTGTGTGGTGGCATCCCAAAATTATATCTACCTCTCCATGCCCCCCAAAAAAGCACCATTCATCTCGAGGACTACTTTCCCCCAAAGTAGTCATTCCTACAGCTTGTGCACTTGCAATCATAATTGCTCTATCATGCTTCTTTGTTGCTTGTTCAAAGCTGAAAAAGTCAAGAGATGGACTTATAACTTCGCGTTCTTATATGGATTGAAAATCAAGTGTCTCCTACTCACAACTCGTTGAATCAGCTAACGGGTTCTCTGTGGATAATCTTATTGATTCGGAAAGTTTTAGTTTTGTTTATAAAGGGGTAAATTCCTATTGATGGAAGGATAGTTGCTGTTAATGTATTTAATCTTCAACAAGAAGGAGCTTCCAAGAGTTTCATTGATGAATGCAAAGCTTTAAGGAGTATAAACCACCGTAATCTTCTCAAGATCGTAACTGCATGCTCAAGCATTGATAATCAAGGCAAAGACTTCAAAAGTCTAGTTTTTGAGTTCATGGCAAATGGAAGTCTCGACTCAAGGTCGTATCCAAGGGAAGAGGAGTAATCTCTAAGTAACATATTGAGCGTTATCCAAAGATTGGATATTGACATTGGTGTTGCTTCTGCGTTAGATTATCTCCATCACCGTTGTGAAACAGCCATAGTTCATTGCGATTTAAAGCCGAGCAACGTACTTCTTGATGAAGATATGGTAGCCCATGTTGGGGATTTTGGTTTAGCAAGGTTCCTCTTCGAAACATCAAATGATCATTCCTTCAGTCAAACCATGTCATCTTAGCTAAAAGGTTTTATAGGCTACATTCCTCCAGGTATGAGTTTATATCATTCTAACTTACTTTTATGTTCTTAGTTAATTACTACTAAGCACTAATTGATAAAAAAATATATAAGTGCATTTTTTTCTTGTAAAAATGTAACATAAAAATCTGAAAAAGGTATTTTTCTAATTGTCAATTGCATACGACATCTTATTGTATATATGTGCTGGCAGAGTATAGCACGGGAGGCCAAGTTTCCACACTAAGAGATGTTTACAGCTATGGGATACTGTTGCTGGAAATATTTACGGGAAAAAGACCTACTGATGACATGTTCAAAGACGATCTGAGCATTTACCAATTCGTAGTCATGGCTTTGCTTGACCATGTGATGGTCGTTGTTGACCCTTCAATTCTGCTCGACCTCGAAGCAGATGGTGATGTTAACGATGACATAGTACGAGAACAAACTCCATCCAGACTTAATAATCGTGGAACTCCATCCAGATGTAACAATCGTGGTCTGGTAAAAGCAATGAAAGTAAAGGAATGCTTGGTTTCAGTGATGCAGATAGGACTCTGTTGCTGTGCAATGTCACCGAGGAGCAGATGTTGATGGACGTGGTTGTCGAAAAAAATGAGCGCAACCTGAGATTCGCACTGCAAAGTTTAAGAAGACTTGAGAAGGACAAGCACGCTGCTCAAAGGAGAGGACATGATCACTCATTAGTAATATTTTCCACTCTGCACTCACCGAAGTTTTCTTTTTGTTTTGGCTTTCTTTATCCTGCTATCGCTTTGCATTTTTTCTTGTTGATGTATGTGGTTTATTTTACTTATATGACTTGAAGCTTTCGCATTCTTAATTTGTGTGGTGCTTTTTAGAGTTTTAATGATAAGTGGATTTTGTTGGAAAAAAAAATGTATGTTCTTTGTTGAATGGCTAACGCTGCAAAAATTAGTCACAAACTGCTAGCAGCTTTGATAGAATTTGCGAATGGTGAGATAGGAGTGTGAGAGAAGGTGGATAAGTAACAGCATTACTTGTTACATTTTTCTGTAATGTCAGTATATGTTGTTACATCTGCTCTAAAAAAGTTACTTTGCACTATTCATATGTGAAAACATAAAATCGAATTTCACTTCAAGATTTGCAGATGGAATTTTTAGAGTATCAATATCTTATTGTAGAAGAGAGAAGCAGAATGTTGATTGATGGTGACAGCTTAACGCTAAGATTAGTGCAAGGGGTTTGGAGTGGAAGTGTTAAGACCCAGATTTTTAATTTATATTATTTACCTATTTTTATAACTACATATTTTTTTTTCCTGAATATAATTATTTATGTTTTAATGCTCGTCTCCACGTGTTGAGCAAATGAAAGAAAGGTATGCTATAGGAATGTCAAGGGATAAAGGGGTATTTGTAGGACTACTTGGAGAGCACTCCAAATTAGCTGGAAGTGGCAATATGTGGTGATGAAAGAGTTTAAGCAGTTGACACCTACGGCATTCAAGTGAGTAAGCTATCTGTTGTTAACTTGATTACATCCTAATCCGGTTGGAAGCTGCTGCCTTCTCCGACTACAAATACGGAGCTGCACCTGCATTTCATTTCAAACATTAGTATCTTACGGGAAAGAGAGAGAGAGAGAGAGAGAGAGAGAGAGAGAGGAGAACATATATATTTTGTTATAAAAGATGATATTCAAAAGGCTGCACATACGATATCAGTTTATCATTTGTTGGATACTATCTTTTGTAAATTGGTTTGACAAATGGAATTTAGTTGGAGATTTCTATTTTCCCAAAACAACAAACATATTTTTATGCAATTTGAATGAAGCAGTCTATTGTATATATATATACAAAGAGTCTAATATACCAATTTTTATGTATCACTCATAGTATTAGATATATCCAACGGATTAGTGAGTTTATCTAATGTATATGTGGCTCTGCTAAAGTATTTTAAAGTACTTATGTATTTTCAACTATACCTTTACTTATTTTATTAAAGTATATCTAGTTCAAATGTTCCTTCAGTGATGACCATGCTGTTATAAATTAACCAAATGACTTTTGGATTAGTAGTGTGGAATTAGCAAGCTTAAGTATGTTGACCAGGATTAAAGTTCATGTCATGCTTTTTAGTAATTGCTTACACTTGTGAATAGGAGTTGCTGAAGGTAGACTCTTGTAGTAGAGAGTCGGAGCAATGCTTTGGAACTTAGGTAGGAGAAATACGGTAGACCTTTATGGAGATTGATTTTATTAAATTTCGTGAAGTGTTATTATAACTTGATATTTTTGGTTGATTAATGTGGTTGGATATTGCTTCACCTAAGTGTTTATTTGTTATTGATTATATTGGAATGTTATCCGGTTATAATATGATGTGATATATGTGAAACATGAGTTGAGATTATTTGTGCATTGCTTATGTGTGAGAAGTAGTTGGAACTTTGGTGTTGAGAAAGGAACTGAAAATGAGGGTAGTTGGAAAGGATCTTTTGTGTAGTTGAGCCAAACTCGTAGTAGGTACTAGGTCTCAAGCGAGCCCATAGTGCACACATTCTTTAATGGTTCAAGACTGGCAACTAAGAGTTTAGGTAAAATGACTAACAAAAGGGAAAATTGGGATGATTGAGTTAAAGGGGTTAATTTGTATACCAGAACATTCGAATCACCACTGTAGAGGTAAAATGCTCGATATGGGACGTGAAGGTCCGCGTGTTTTATTATATTAATTAACGGGTAGAGATGAAGAGTATTGCATTGCACTCATGCATTATTCTCGACACTGTTCTAAAAATCCCCACTTTGTGCTGCCTAGGCCCTGCCTAGGCGCTAGGCGGCTGGCCACAACCCTGATTAATGCCTAGGCATTTGAAAATTAAGAAAGGACGCCTAGACCACCTAGGCACCCACCTAGCCCGCCCAGACCCGCCTAAACACCTGCCTATGTTGCAACTCACTTAGATAGAAAATAGATAACTTTCCTTTTGCATTTTATTGTTTCCAATAAATTGTAAGAAACTTATTGAACACTTAAATAAATACACAATATATGTTTCTCCCCATGTTTTCATTATGTTCCAATACTTCATAAGATATATGTCATTCTGTTTTCTAGTTTATGATGAAATTATATATATTTTAAGTATAAATAGACACTTATTTACACGAAATACAATGGATTTACTTAAATCCGCCTACTCCGCCTAAGCGCTAGGCCCCAGCCCACCACCAGACTAGCTCCTAGGGTCTTTTAAAACCTTGGTAACCGATAATAATTTGATATTGGTTATGTGATTTCATGACACTTAATTTAGTATTGTCAATTTAATGTGGTAAATGTTGGAAATGTGCCCTAAAACCAATCATATGATGATACTTTATGGACATTTCACATGTTAAACTAATCTAGTTTAATATTAAGGGCAAACATTATTGTTTGAGCCGTCTCATATAAATGTTATATGCTTAAACGATAAGTCCAAGGAATATGTGATTGGAAGAATGCGATCTAAAGAAGTTAGATTCATGAGACCATTCTTTCGTTGACACATCCTAAACGTTCCTGATCATAGGATTGTCAATTGGGCATTAACAGTCCGTTAAGATCAGTACGTGCTATGTCTTCTCTCAGGGAGAGTGACTAGTCTCGAGTCATTGGTGTGTGTGACATCAAGACAAGTACGTAGGTGCTCAATAGAGAATGAGTTCACTGAACACGATCAACGAAGAGTTTTCATATTCATGTCACATGAGAACTCATGGTTGGGATAATGCAAATTAGTCTTTTGACCTGAGGCATCACAGTTGTCTTGTGGTTAGGTCCTTAATCTTTGATTATGTCAAAGTCACTCCATCATGAGGGTGTCCATGGCATCGTTGGGGTTAAGCCACTTAGCCATGGAGGCAAGTGAATGCGCAACAAGGGATCTCTAACCTTCAAACTGTTTGAGGGAGAATACTCTATGATATGATTTAGAATCTCTGGCCAGAGTATGAATGAGATGTTGGAATGCGTTCCAGATCACATTCAAGGTAATCATATAAGTACAAGATTCACATTGGATAGTAGACATGAATAAACTATCAAACCAAACAATGTGGTCAAGAGTATTGTATTAGAGAAAGACCGTATTGCATTTGTAATCCTAAACTGAATAGGTTCTCCACCTCTTCTGATTAGCTTGGGTAACCATGACATGCTGCTAGGCCTCAACCATGGTTTGTGGAAGCCCTAAAAGTGTATTATCACTAACGGGAGAATTGAAAGTAAGTTTCAATTCACAATCGATTAGAAAGAGTTTTAATCGCCCACTGCCTCGCTAAAAGGAACCTAATGGATCGTTCACCGAGTAAGGTAGAGTTTGAAGAAACAACGGAGATGAGTAAGAATAATTAAATGGTTTAATTATTTATCTAAGGCTAGGATTAATTAATATGTTAATTAATCAAACGAATAAGTTCGTTAAAGACCTCGGTTTAGTTTTGGGCCGCAAGGCCCAATGGGATTTGAATGTCAAGCCCATTAACTCAAGTTGTATGACAACTTGGATAAAACAAAGGGCTTGAAAGCCCAATAAACCTATAGGCCATGTGTAAAAGAATAGGGCTTTTGGTCCATTAGGTCACTTATTTGAAGGGACTATATAAAGGACTTTATAGCCTAAAATTTACTAAGGGTTATTTTTGGGGAAAGGATGAGAACACAAGCTCTCCTTTCTCTCAAAGATTTCGGCCACTTTGGAGGGATCATCTAGCAATCAAACTCCTCCAAGGTCACTCATTTCTTCTTCATTATGCCTTGGTGATGAATCATTAGAGGTTCTCAATTTTGGGAACTTGGAGAAACCTTTTCATCCATCCAAATCCATGGATCTAAGATGCAAGGAATGAAGGCCCTCTCTTTGGGTGATTAGCCTTTGCTTATGCAAAGAGGAATCTACAAAGGTATTGATTTCTCAACTCACTTTGTTTTGAGTTGAGTCTTGGTTCACCTATCTACTAGGCTTTGAAGTTCATGGGTTAAGTTTTGTTTTTGAGTGCATATAAACATGATTCCGCCTTTTAATTGTTAATTGCATGTTGTTGATGTTGCTCAAATGAACTTGTTTTTCACAAATCTTCCTTCAAGTGGTATCAAGAGCCTAAGTCTAGTAGTTGATGAATCCTTTTGGGTTTTGTAGTTCATAGTTTGTGATTTGAATGTTGTAATTGTTACAAGCTTTATTCTTGCTTCTTTGAATGTAAATTTTGTTAGAAAATTTGCCATCTCAAATGTTGTAGATGTAGTTCATATGAGCATGAATTTTGGAGCTAAAATTTGGTGCCATGTTTTTGGGGAAATTCGGCCAAATCCAAAGGGTGGATTTTTGGGTTCTTGTTCGACTTGTTAAAAGTGTTTTAAAGTGACTTTTGGAACCCTTATGTACCCTAGTATGGTTGTATGTTATTTCCCTTAAGTTTGAGTGGTTTTGGTATGTTTTTGGGTGAAGAATGTTCATGGAGCTCTTATGGGTTTTCATGGATGTTCTTCATTGTTCTTGATATGTTCTTGCCAAGAACAAAAGGTTTGGTGTTTTGATTCAAAGTTTTGATTTAT